ACCTATACTTCCAGGTGGTCCCATCACCAGAAATAACACCTGTAGAGTCCGGTGATCACACAGAGATTGAGATTGTAGGCTCACAGCTCTTTGCAACTCGCTTTTCCCTGGGCTGGTGTGCTCCTCAGGAAGGTGGCATATGACAATCCTTCAGAACCCTTCATAGCCATTCAAAAAGAGATCAGAACGTTTACGGTCCAATCCTTGTTTGTCTGAGTTTGAGGCTCAGGACCTGGGGACTCCGCACGGATGTGATACAGGAAAAACCACAGAGAATGTGTAGGGTCCAGAGAGGTAGCTGTCTACAGCAACAGACACTTCATTTGTACTTCCAGAAAAGGACTCTGGTCCTTTAAAAAAAAAAGATTTGGTGTCACTGGAAGGAATTTCACAGAACCACAGAATTGTATTCTTTGTAAAATTGTATTCTTGTAAAAAACAAAAAAATATTGTTGCTGTTGTTGTTAGGTTCCATCAAATTGGTACCGACTCATAGTGACCCTCTATGCACAACAGAATGATACACTGCCTGATCCTGGGCCAGCCTCACAATTGTTGCCACACCTGAGCACAACGATGCTATCACTGTGTCAATCCATCTCACTGAGGGTCTTTCTTTTTTTCTCTGATCCTCCATCTTACCAAACATGACATCCTTCTCCAGCGAATGTTCCCTCCTGACAATATGTCCAAAGTATGAGAGACGAAGTTTGGCCATCGTGGCCTCCAAGGAGCACTCTGGCTGCACTTCTTCCAACACAGATCTATTGGTTCTTTTGGCAGCCCATGACACTTTCAATATTCTCCTCCAACACCACAACTCAAAGGCATCAATTCTTCTGTGGTCCTCCTTATTCACTGTCCGGCTTTCTCATGCATATGAGGTTATTAAAATAGAGGTAGTAAAATAAAAATCTGTTTTACTTAACTCAGAGGTTGTATCAAGTGAGATATTATATGAGCAGGCTTCAAAAAGTTTTAGAAAAATTGAATGAAAAAATCATGGTATTTTCCTACAACCTTTTGAAACCTTGGTTGAAACGCACCAGTGCTCCTCAGAAACCTTAATGGAGTCTTTATGAATCAGAACTGACTGTATGGCACTTAAAAACAACATATAGGGAGAGTGCTTGGCAAGCTGTAAGGGATGGTCTAAATCACTAGTGTTTGAGTGGTTGCCATGGGGAGTCCTGGAATGGCACTGTAGGATAAGCACTGGATTGCTAGCCACAAAGTTTGCATTCAAACCCACCAGCTACTCCTCAGTAATCATATACAGGGTCACTAGGAGTTGGAAATGACTTAGGGAACTTAACAACAGCAACAATTTTGGGGAGCGTAGGCTAAGCACTAGAGTGTGAACCTCAACGTTGTTGGTTCCAGCCCATCAACAGCTCCTTGGGAGAAAGATTTCTGCTCTTGGAAAGCCTATACGAGGTTGCTATGAATCAGAACCCAGTCGATGACACTTAACAACAACTTATCATAGGAAAGTAGAGGGTCCACAAAAAAGGAGCAGACCCTCAAGGAGCTGCATTGATACAGAGGCGACAACAATGGGGGGCCGAGGCATTGTTTAGTCCTGTTGTATGTGGAGCCCTTATGAGATGGAGCTGACTCCCTGGCACCTAAGGACCTTACAACATTGTGCTTCTGACACTCTGGTGAGTTCTGGGAAGATAGGAAAGAAATTCTTTCTCTTGATGAACTTTGAGGTGAATTGAGAAAGATAACACGCACAGATACCTGAAGCTAGCAACACTCAAGGCCCCCTACGCCAGATTGCCTTGGGTGGTACACAAGCACCCTTGGCTGCTCACTGAAAGGTTGATGGTTAGAATTCACTCAGAGGCACCCAGGAAGTGAAGCCTGGTGACCTAGTTCTGAAAATTCAGTTGTTGAAAACCCGCGGGAGCCCAGTTCTACTCTGACACACATGGGGGGCGCCATGAGTTGTTAAGTAAAGTTAGATGTAATTTGAGAACGATAAGTAGCAGTTCTCAACAATGGAATGAACGAACACGTTTCACTGTAGCCGCCCCTCAACCCAATGGTATTATTTCTACAAGCAAGATAGTCAAAGGCAGATCGAAAACTAGAATGGGTTTTCTAGATGAAGGTGGATAAAGTACTAGAAGCTTAAAAATCTGGAATACTCCCAAACAACAGTGATTAGGCATATACAAGACCTGGGAAGAGTGGTCCCTTAGCCCCCAGGTCTGATAAAGCTCCTGTGCTTTGTGTCCTAAAAACCATCTCAAGCTTGGCGGTAAGTGGAATCATACCTTATACAGAGGTATGGAGCAACTGTTGATTAGCTGGGATCAGAAAGCACCCCCTCTGTCTGTCTGGGGAAGGAACCCAAAGGTACCTGGGATGCTACCACCGCCCCCCGCCAACTCCAAGGGGCAGCCATGTGTTGCCAGTATGCTGGGAAAACAACGGAATGTATCCACTGAAACTAATAGAGTGATGTCCAGCAACCACCTTAGGGCTCACAAAGAACTGCCACCTGAATATGAGATTGTACACCAAGAAAAAAATGTCTGTGCCAAGGGTTGTTGTTGTTACGTGCCGTCAACTCGGGTCCGACCCACAGTGACCCTGTATAGGGTTTCCGAGGCTGTTAAATCTTGGTTGTTGTTAAGTGCAGGCAATCGGTTCCGACTCATAGTGACCCTGTATCAGGTTTGTGAAGAGCCACAGCTGAATTTGAATGCTGACCTTGTGATTCAAACCGATCCTACAGCACCGTACCAGGACTTTTTACTGTGGAGCAGCTGGTGGGTTCAAAAATGATGCTGTAGGGTAAGCAAGATTGTTTGAACTGCAAGGTCGGCAGTTCAAGCTCACCAACTGCTCCTCAGAAACCCCATACAGGATCACTGTGAGTCAGAACTGACTCGATGGCAGTTAACAACAGCAACCTGTTTGTCACTGAGGAACACGGATCCACTGGATGGAACCATCCTATTAATCACCGCGTTGCTACCTTACATTGTGCAATTGGGAGATGAGATGTCTTCTTAGGAGTATCTCATGCTTGTAAGAAGTGGCAGGCTTTGTTTGTTTCCTTTTTGTGAAAAGGAGGAAATTTGATGAGAATGCTTCTCTCCCATTGCTCTCAGCTCCTTGGCATTATCTAACAGCTGGGAGTGTCGGGAGACATGTATTCTGTGTGAGATTTTGCTTTGATGAATCTTTGCCAGAATGTTATCGTGTAGAAAGCAATACAGGGGTCAGCTGCCTCTGATGGAGCCCATGTCTGAGTCTGAGGAGTACCCACAGTAGACACATGAATCTTCAGGAACCACAACTTGAGAACGCAGGCAGTTCTCAGGTTACAGACAAGATCCATTCCTGTCTTTAAGAATATTTAGTTAAATCCTAACAGGTGCATATGGGTCTGGTTTAGTCTTACTTTAGTGCAGGAAAAAATGAGCCCTGGTAGGGCAGTGGGATAAGCATTGGGCTGCTAACCCAAAGGTCCGAGGTTCAAACCCACCAGCCGTTCTTAGGGAGAAAGATAAGGTTGTCTGCTCCAGTGAAGATTTACAGCCTTGAAACTGTAAGGGCAGTTCTGCTCTGTCCTCTAGGTCACTGTGAGTCAGAACCGACCCCATGGCAGTGGGAGGGACAATCCAAGTGCATCATTCCGGTTATACCTCGAGTTCAGTTTGTCCCTTATATATTATATTCAAGTTGCTGTTGAGTTAGTGCTGACTCATGAACCCCGTGTGTATAGAGTGGACCTGTGCTCCACGTGGTTTTCAAAGTGGTGACCTTCCCGAAGCGGATTGCCAGTCCTGACATCTGCAGCACCTCTGGGTGGGTTCGAACCAAGTGCTGTCAGTAATCAAGTGCTAAATTGATTGCACACCCAGGGACTCTATGCATTATGTTTTTGTTAAGGGCTGTTGAGTCAGTTCCAACTCATAGCAATCCAGCATAGGGCTTCCAAGGAGCAGCTGGTGGCTTTGAACCTCTGACCTTGCTTGATCTTCGAAGACAGATACATGAATCATCCTGGGGGTAAGGAGGAGGTTGCCACACTGTCTCTAAGTCTTAGCCCATGAATGTAAACACTTTGGGTTTCTGAATTGTACTAGAATGTGTAAGAGCAGACACACACACACACACACGCACACGCACACACACACCACCCCCGCCAGGTCCAGTGGTTGTTCTACGACACCACATTATCTGTATTTTAAGTGTTTTCCTGTTTCCTACAATGATTTGATATGGTGTCTGGTGGAGGACCAACAGCATTCATTGCTCCATAAAAAAAAAAAAAAAATGTCCCAAAGTCCAAATTCTTTAATATCAGGGAA